ACTATTTTTTTTAAAAAAGGATTAGCAATTTGAATTTCATCAATTATATTGGTTGGGACTAGGTTGTCCGCACTGTACATTAAATTTAACAAAATATAGACTACAAAAAAAAACTTGAGCGTCCTACCATTATATTTTCACATCGAATATCATTGTGAAAATGCCAACAGAGTCTAAAAACATGATCCCTTTGCAAATTTCTGAGCTTTCAAATTCCAAGAAATGCGTTCTCTATTATAGACCTCTTTCAAATTTCCCATTTCGGCCCACTCGAAAATCATAACTTTTTTATCATCGACCTCAGAAAGCCCATAAAATTTTCTAATACTCTTACATTCGTCCAGTTTTTCCAGAACTAATAACTCACGGCGAAACCTTCGATTCTCCGAGTCACGTGATTTGCACGCTACTTCGATAGAATCTTTATAAACCTTTTTTATGATTTGATTTAATTTACCACGACGATCTGATTTGCGACTAAGTGGCGGCTCCTTTAGCAAGGTTGGATCGATTTATCGGATCGAGTCTTTGGTTTTCTCGAGTTTGTTTTTAATGTGACATATTTCTTGATAAAGAGATGCTTTTGTATCCTATATTTATTTAACTTTTTCATTAGAATTATTACCAAATTGGCAATAATGATGAATTTATAGAATTATAACTAATCTCTCAAGATGTGCTAAATTACTAGGAGGATTAATTAGTCTCCTACAAGTTTTACTACAAAGAAAAATTTTTAATACCTTAATCATTTTGGTAAGAGTATCCGTCAAAATATCATTATCAATTCTTCGTTGTTCATTAAAAACGATAATCATCATAAAATTCAGATCATTCATACTCTTTCATCAACTCGACAAATACCTTCTTTATGCTTGTAGCACGCAAAAATGTCTCAAATGCCCTTAACTGTGTCACTGTTTCTACAAATAGTTTAATCTTACTCAAAGTAGATTGAAATTTTACAAATGATTCTTGATGTTGCAAAACTTGAAATTTTTCTCTATATTTGGTCGGTGATTTTAAAGATTTTATGATTGTTTCGACAGATGCAATGCGGTTAATTATAAATCGGGATATCTTCTTATTGAATTGTGTATTCTCGTGGATTGTAAATATATCATTTATTAAAGAGGTGACAATGCCGAGTATCGGAACAACAGATGATAATGCGTTATTAGCAACATTGGTCGTCCCTTCTATGAACTCGCTTAATTCTGGATTGATGCTTTGTATAATTTCAATATCAATTTCTGCTTTCGTTGTCATGGTGAATGTAGTTTAAACAACTTTTTTTTTTATTACAGTTAACTATCTATATAATGGGTTTTTTTGGTCTTATAATTAATTTTTTTGTAAAATCCTTCATATAACGGATTTATAATAAAATTTAAAATTTTAAGTCCGTTATATAGGTGATTTTTATTATAGTAATAGCATTATCGTTATTCCAGATCACTAAAGGTCATTACACAAAATCGTGTAACAGGAAATTAACTTAACGGTAATGATCGCAATTCTTTGGCACAACAGCTCGAGTATCCTCTACGTGAAATTTCCATTCGATGTTCTGGATGTCGATGTTACACGAATGCACAATAATCCAACGCCATTTATTATAATAAAAATAGTGTTGGATAGCGGAATTGGTATTGTAAAATAATTATGTTTCACACCTCAGCCGTGTAACATTGGTTGTCTCATTTTATATAGGTTCATATAAGCTACTGTATAAATAAATATGAGGGATAAAAGTTTAATAAAATTTTTAAATATCTGCCAATTTAACGATTTTATAATTTTGCTTGTCCCATTTGCCATGCGGTATAAATATCTGCGAATAGATTGTAACAGTTTTTATCGGGAGACTTGAAGAACAAGGAATTAAGTGATATATTAGTGACATCAAATCACGTGAAATTATGATTTGTTTACTGCACTAACAAATTGGCCTAAACTAAATATCATCTAACACTAACACTAACCCTAACGTATTAGGCCGAATGATTAATCATGTGATGAAATTATCACAAATATATCACTTGGTTCCTTTATCTTCAATCTTCCCTTTTTTTTTTTGTTTTTTTTACCCATTTAACGATTTTATAATTTTGCTTGTCTCATTTGCCATATATAAAGATCATGCGGTATGAATATCTGCGAATAGATTGTAACAGTTTTTTGTTTTTTAACGATTTTATAATTTTGCTTGTCTCATTTGTCATATATGATCAGTGGTACGAATGAATTGTAACAGTTTTTTGCTATGCACGGATTAGATTGTAACAACTTCTATCATTATATAGTTAGATTGTATGGTCTACCCTTGTTAATATCAATCTAAGCTATAAGATAAAGTCTTACAAATTTTATATATTAAAATTCCCTCATATATATCAACTTTAATATAATCCCTTGTTAATATCATTATCAACATTAATTTAAACCAATTCAAATAGAGGGTAGACTGTAACAAATTTCTATCATTATATGGTTAGATTGTAACTACTGCACTTTCTATCATTATACGGTTAGATTGTAACAACTTTCTACCGTATGTGGATTAGATTTAATTGGATCTACAACCAGGACTTGTAATTTTGAGAAAGGAAATTTTCATTTGTCATTTTTATAAAACAAGTTCAATATCAATATCAATTGCAATATCAATTGTGATATCAATTGCGATATCAATTGCGATATCAATTGCAATATCAACTTCAAATTCAAATTGATAATTATATTTCATATAATAATTTTTGATGATGCTGATGCAATATTAAACTGTTGTTAAAAGAGCTTCACATAACTATTTCATTCATGTTTTACTTAGAATAACTAAGCCAATTCAAGTTTTAAGCAATTTTTGTTTTTTTTTTTTGTTGAAAATTTTACAGAACAGATGATTCCTATTTTATATGCTGTATTTAATGTGATAAAAAACTGCTAATTTATTAATAATTACCTAACTAGAAGTTTAATGTTAAATATTGCTTTTTTTACTTATTAGAAATAGTACTTGTTTGAATATATATATATTGATATTTTTGCATCTAATATAAGATAAGTGGGGTATTGTGGCCAACCTGCCTCATCGAGACAGTCGAATAGTATAACTTCATCCGATTCTGATCATTAGATCACGAAATATCATCATTTAGACAAAATATGAATTTTCACGCATATTTAAGCTTATTAAATATATTTATAATCTTTAATAGCGAATAACTTTCGATCCACCAGTCCATATTTGATGGTTTTACCACCAAAATGACAGACTCGGTGAGATGATTTTAATGAGCCCAAAATCATTAAAATCCAATCACAGGATCCCAAAATTCTTGTAAATTTATCATATTTAATAGAATTAAATAAGAAATCTGCGAATTTTTATAAATAATTCTTTAAGGGTAGGGTATCTCACGATATGTTACACATATGATGTATTAATGCAGATCCTTTGTGGCTTATAGTTTTAAACATGCGACAAAGCTAAATTTTCAACCGGCATATATTTCTTAGAAAAAAAAACTTCGTTTTACTTTGTTATAAAGCGAACATACTTTTAAAGATATTTTATTTCGTATTAGGTATTTTATATAGTAAGTTGTATATATACTAAGTTTAGTAAAAAAGTTACCCATTGGCACTGTCTTTTGCCCATTGTTGCCCATTATCATTGCTTGTCCAATACTGAGACTACCTTGCTTTAAAATTATATTGTAGACGATTAGATGCTCTATTAATAATTAACTTTTATTATAATTATATGCTATAGTAAGTGAGAAAAATTAAAAGTTGCCTATGAGCTTTCTTAAACGAAGTATATATATATATTGTAAATTTAATATTAAGTTTTAATACTTATTTAAATAAATCGGAATTAATATTGGTTGCATATCAATGTTATAGTAAAGATTATATGCAAAACTACCTTCCCGGTATTTTTTATTAGTGTTAAACATATGTTTTAACATTCATTTTTTATATTATTGCTTTTTTTTACTTTGTTGAGTCGATCAAAATTCATGATTTGATTGGTTGATCATTTGGTTACACATAAAATTGATTATCGAATTACACGGGATACCCTTAATGATCTCGGGATTCTGTGATTGGATTTTAACAATTTTGATCTCGTTAGAATCATCTCTATTGAGCTGATCATTTTGGTAGTAAAATTATCCAAAATGGACTGGTGGATCAAAAGTTATTCGATATTAAAAAATTGGCCACAATATTAACACCTATTCAATTTTTTGTTTTTTTATATATAATTGTTAAGTAATTATATCTTTTGATTTAGCATATAGAATTAAGTAATCAATTATTCATTCACAACTCTTTCCAATGATCATCTGGACCAAAATTTCCTACTGAACGAAAAAAAAAATTTGTTGGAGAGGAGAAGACAGCTTATGGGGTGGTTTTTGTAAAGGTCAACATTTTACTCTGGAGACTCCTTTACATATTCAGCATGCAAACCAGAAGCGTTAGGAAACAAGATAACTAGCAAGAGTTGGCACCCTTGCTTCCAAAATTCTGGAAAAAAGGTGCTCATAAGAAGTTGGGGCTTTTTTGTTGACGAAGTAACTTGTAACGCAAAAGAATAGAATAGAAGGAGAACAACAAATAGGTTTTTCTAATGACACTTCCTGAAAATTTAGAGACTTTCTTTGAAATAATGTACATTATGGCTTGGTTCAAAAGAAGCCTTAATGTGAGATATGGGAAAAAAAACCTATTATAGGCATGGCACTTGTCGTTTAGAGGTAGTTTTCATATGCTACTTGCCAACAAGCTTAGAGTTTATCACTTACTGAAAAAACTTAGTACTGTGCAGACATGGGTAGACATTTCTTTGGTATTTCTTCTTGGTTTTTTTACCTCCCTTTCGCTTTTGCTGTTCCCTCCAAAATTTTTGAAAAAAAGTGGGCATTTGGGCTCACCCTCTCCAAAAGATCAGCAACATTTACACCTTCCTAATTTGGACGTACTCAGTAGAATGCAACCACGTGTTTGTTTTGTTTATCAATACGGTGCTACGGTATGGGGAAGAGATCTGTACCTCCATTTAGGAGATACTCGAGTTTTGTCAGTGCCCAGAACGAGTCCTCTATGATAAGACAACGTCTTACAATTGAGATATATTAATTAGTTGCAATTATTATATAATTTTTATCCTT